AAATAATTTTGTGTTCAGCCTGCATGGAAAAAAGGAATCCAAAGTTAAAAGTACTTGAATGTTTCGAAAGAGAAAAATTTAATGTAACATTCTCTTCCGCCTTCCGAAATAAAATATAGTTCCTGACTTAGTGCTTTTTGTATGGAATTTAATCGTGGGTTCTGAACTGAATATAGTTTATTTAGCATTGTAGAATCCAAATTTATTGTAAGAACTAAAATATGATGCAGAGTTTTAGAAATAGAGGTCCAGACAAAAATCTGTTCAAAAGCTCAGGATCGAACCTCCTTAAACAATTTTCAATTCGCAGGTTCATTTTTTGAAAAGATGATATAAACAATGTATGCATATATACCTAATGCAAAATATATACAATTATTTCTAAGGACAATTCTTTTTTCTTTTATTTTACTTATCATACATATTCCAAAGCTCTTTAACCAAATCACTTATAAACACCGATCCCGTATTCCGCTCGATCATCCATAGAGCAAATATTCCATCCACACGAAGTTCCTTCTGGATAAAACTTTGGATGTGTTTCTCATTCCGTGGATCTTTAGTGTTCCCTTCACAATTTACTAGAAATTTCTTGATGTAGGTGATCCTGTTACGAGGTATCGCGAGACGCCATATCCAAATCAATAGACTAGCACAAGTCAGAAAAGCGACCAATCCACACAGGAACCAAAGAAATACAAAGATTTTCTCGTTGTACATATTCTGAGGTAGAACACACTGTACAGTCCAACGGAGCAAATTCTGAAGTTGGCGTATGTGCACATCACACAATGTAACTCTTGGGAAACGCGCCAAACCCACCGTGCTATTTCCAACGGTACCACCAAAAAAATCTAGGCCATATTGAAGGTAAAAATCATGTCCCAAAAACTCGTCTAAAAGGAAAAATTGTCCAATTACATTTGCACAGTATAGACATTTCTTAACAATGTAAAGACTGGCAAGGTAATACCCTGACCGTTTTGACGCCAGTCTCTCCAGAAACATTGGACTTTTATTCAGAGGTACGTGTGCCCTCGTCCACCTTTGAAAGACACTTGCTATATTTTTTACGGTTTGGTTTCGTTCGTCCCAGCTCATGATTTGTGTATTAGCAGCCGTTTGAGAAATTGTATCCAACTGAATTCCAGATCCTTTGTGAAGTAATCTCCAGAGAATGTTAGGAATCTTAAAAAGAAGGGCCATGATGGCCAGCACAATAGGCACCCATTGGTAATACATAACTTCATTTTCCCTTGCTTCTTCGGTGATGGGTTGGTTCAGAGGTACATAATACGTGTTCCGAATCCAGCAGAAATAGTTCACGTATGCAACATACGCTTCTGTGAATTCCGCCGGACACCAGCAGTCGATCGGGGGACCTGTGACGTGGTGTTCTGCCCCAGTATACACTGCGAACACAATCAGAAAGGTAGGGACGATAGTGTTGTTGAGTCGATCAATCCAATCGTCATGTCCGTGGCCAAATAAACGGAATTTTATGGTATTTTCTTTGTTACCAGCAGTAATTTTTAGTTTTACCTTGTTATCCATCTTTCGCCGACCACTTCATCAGGAGTCGATAGCCAACGGGGTTTTTCCAATCTAATGTTTAAAAAATAATTGTTTATCATTGCATTGATTAACTTATCTAACAAAGGGTACATTGGACCCTGTTCTCTTTTATCTTTACAAGGTGTGTCTTTTGGGTTTCAGTTTCTATTTTGTTGCAACATTACAAATACCGATTACATGCAGTAAATGTAACATAATTCTTATACCTTTAGAGAGATTATTGTTATTAGTAGTAGTAGAATTTTGATTTCCTTTTGATTGTGTGTTGTGTTGCAACATTACAAGTAGTGATTAGATTCAGTACGATATTCATTTACTAATTCGTGGTATTAATCAAAATAATATCATACATAATTTTCAGTGTGCTCATTATTCAGAAAATTATAATTTGTCTACGAACTTAAAGAACAACCCTCGTACATTAAACCTACTACTGTAGTTATTCCTGTGCCATCAAGACAGATGTGTGCATTTGGCGTATACAACTTTTACATCTATTTTTTCATTGCCATTTTTTGGTCTATTTTCTTATATGAACTTTACATAATGACTTGATATTATAAAAATAATTAATAATGAGGAAACTCTAGATCTACATACGTAATATGTTAAGGCTTCCTGAAATGATCGATCTTCTCGTTATACTAATTAGATGAAGAAGTTATATATTGACAAAACAAGCGCAATGTATATAATAAGAGTATCATATTAACCTTCTGGTATAGAATCATTAGAATCATAGAATCATCATTATGGCATGTATGAATTTGTGACCTTGATTTTTCGTATGTTGGCCTCAAGATTAATAGGTGTCTTTCATAAGTTAGAGAAACTCATTACCTAAAGTTTCATTGCAAATTAGAATTATCATCAGGAAACCATTTTATGCAAATTATGAATTGCTGACATTGGCCTATGTACTTTTGACCTCAAAATCAATAGAAGTCTTATTTTAGATGATAAAGAGTTATGGTGTAAAATTCTATTCCAAAAGCTGAAGGAAAATTAGAGATATCAGTCGGAAATTTAAGTGTTAAAGAGTGATATACCATATATAAAATTAACCGTGATCTTTCATTTTTTGGCTCAAAATGAAATATGGAGAGAACATACAGTATTCAAGTTCAAAAGTCCATTCAAAAAATACAAATCAGGAGCAGAGCAAACTTGGACCTGTAAAACATCAGAGGTGGGATCAGGTGCCATGGAGGATCGAGTGTTTCTTTAAGATAATTGTATCTTAAAACTAGAGTTATGAGAAATATGAATAAGGTGTTTTGAGAACTCAACTGCACGGTAAAAGCAAACAAGAGGCCCATGGGCCACATCGCTCACCTGAGCACATTATCTAGACACAAATCAGTTCAGTATTGAAAAGATTACTGGGGGTTGGGGGGGGGTGAATTTTAAACTACCTGATGATGCTTCCATGTCAATATAACAAATGGCTTTGTTGTACTTGAGAAGATTTTAAAAAAACATTTCCCATACATTCCTTTGTAAAATTTTGATCCCCCATTGTGGCTCCTCCCTATCCCAGAGGTCATCATTTGAACAAACTTGAATCTACACTACCCGAGGATGCTTCCATATCAATATGACTAAACATAGCTTTTCTGTTCTTGAGAAGAAATATTTTTCCTATGTGTTCTTATGTAAAACTTTCGATCCCCATTGGGCCCCACCCTACCCCTGGGGGTTATTATTTGAAAAAAAATTGAATTTGCACTACCTGAGGATGCTTCCATATCAAAATGACTAAACATGATTTTCATTTCTTGAGAAGAAGATATTTTACAATATGTTCCTATGTAAAAAAAATTTTATCCCCAATTGTGGCCCATCCCTATCCCCGGGGGTCATCATTTTAACAAACTTGAATCTACACTACCTGAGGATGCTTCCATATCAAAATGACTAATCATGGCTTTGCAGTTCTTCATCAGAAGATACCTTCCTATATATTTCTATTTCAGACATTGATCCTCCATTGTGGCCCCGCCCTACCCCAGGGGGTCATGATTTGAACAAACTTAAATCTACACTACCTGAGGATACTTCCAGATAAATATAATCTCTTAGGGCTTTGCTGTTCCTGAGAAGAAGATTTTTAAAGATTTTTCATATATATTTCTATGTAAAACTTTGATCCTCCATTGTGGACCCGCCCTATCCCCCGGGGTCATGATTTGAACAAACTTGAATCTACACTACCTGAGGATGCTTCCATATAAATATGACTTATCATGGCTTTGCTGTTCTTGAAAAGAAGATTTTTGAAGGTTTTTCCTATATATTTCTATGTTAAACTTTGATCCTCCATTGTGGCCCCGCCCTACCCCCGGGGGTCATGATTTGGACAAATTTGAATCTCCACTACCTGAGGATGCTTCCATATAAATATGACCAATTAGGGCTTTGCTGTTCTTGAGAAGAAGATTTTTAAAGGTTTTTCCTATATATTTCTATGTAAAACTTTGATCCTCCGTTGTGGCCCCGCCCTACCCCCGGGGGTCATGATTTGAACAAATTTGAATCTACACTACCTGAGGATGCTTCCACATGAGTTTCAATTTCCCTGGCTTTGTGGTTCTTGAGAAGAAGATTTTTAAAAGATGCTATTAATTTTTCACTAATTCTTTATTATCTCCCCTTGGAAGAGGGCGTGGCCCTTCATTTGAACAAACTTGAATCCCCTTCACCCAAGGATACTCTGTGCCAAGTTTGGTTGAAATTGGCCCAGTAGTTCTGGAGAAGAAGTTGAAATTGTGAAAAGTTTACGCCAACGACGACAACGCCAACGACAACGACGACAGACAACGGACAAATTTTGATCAGAAAAGCTCACTTGAGCCTTTGGCTCAGGTGAGCTAAAAAGATTGCAAAATGTAAGTGCCGGAAAAAGAAAATTTGTATCTATGGCGTGGTTGTTATCGTCAATGTCAACAATGTCAAGGTTATGTGTCTTTTACTTTAGCGTGAAACTTGGAAACAACATGTTGCAATCAAAAGTGAGGAATAAATTCTGATCATCTTTTATATCAAAACCCTTGGTCATCCGACATTTATATCTACGGAATTGACACCATGGTTACTTCTTCAACTTTTTTGCGCATGTGTACCTTAAAGAGGAAGGAGTGAAGCAACATTTTCTTGTTGGGGCAAACTAAAATTATTTCTCCATAAAAGTAGATTTTTTAGATTCTGAAATCTGTAAATTTCTGAAACCTAATACTTTCAAGAATTGAATAAAATTTGCATGTGTCGCGCAAAAATTCTACTTTTGTCAATTTTCCCTTTTTTCCGTCACGGTGTCTCTTTAAAAAAAAACCCCACTCCTATATACGAATCATTAATCATAAATGTGTGTCGTTGAATATATAATGCATGTTGAGATTTAAACAAATATTTATATGTAGCCACAGTGTAAAAACTTTGTAATGATATATAAATGTATTAATTAGAAAAAAAATACGTCAAGTTTTATTGTTAATGAAATGTTCCCACAATTTTTTAACAAGATCAGTCGCAAAAACGTCACTCGTATTTCGATGTACCATACGAAGAACAAACGCACCATCTTGACGCAGAAAATCCGTCACAAATTCGTGAAACTTTTTCTTGTCTATTTCTTGATTTTCTTCTTTCCTTTCGGGATGAATGTTGAGTAATTTCTCAATGAAGACTCTTCTGTTTATTGGGAAAAAGACACGCCACATCCAGAGAAGAAAACTAGCACAAGTCACCATGGCAACGAAACAGTACCAGTACCAAAGGAAAAAGAAAATGGCCTCATAGAACATGTTTAATGGAAGCACGCACTGCACAGTCCAGCTTTGTATATTTGACATTTGTCTTATTTTAAAGTCGCACAGTGTGACACGAGGAAATTCTATCAGTCCTAACTGATTGATTTCCGAAGGGGGTCGCCGGAAGAAATCCAAACCTAGAGTTAAATAGAAATTTTGTCCCAGAATCGCGTCAAGTAAAAAGAATTGTCCAATCACATTTATGCAGTATATGCATTTTATAACCATGTAAAGCGCAGTGAGATAGTTCCCGCTTCTTTTATCACAATTCAGGTTCCTTATTTTCGAAAACAGGTTTCTCTGATAAGGTCGATAAAGATGAAGCCAGCGATGAAGGTAAAATGCAAGGTTGTTTATGGCTTCTTGGCGTTCATCCCACGTCATTTCCTGTGAATCGGTGGCATTGCGTGCTATGAATCCAACGTTAACACCGGAATAGACGTTAGTTAATCGCCAAAGAATATTTGGAAGTTTAAACAAGAGTGCCATAAAAAACAATATAACAGGTCCCCACTGGTAATATTTTACAACAAAACGCCTTCGTATTACTTCATTCTGTGATAACGCCTCAGAAGGGGGAACATAATACGTGTTTGAAATCCAGCAGTGATATTGAACGTATTCCACGTGTGTGTCCGTAAATTCCGCTGGACACCAACAGTCGATTGGGGGTGTCGGTTTGATGTATTGCAGGAAAGTCGTGTACGCTGCAAATGCACAGATGAAGAACAACGTCACGACGTAGTTCAGACGGTCCGCCCAATCGTCATCTTTGTTTCCAAACAAGTTGACGGAGAGAATATATGTCTTTTCCACCTCGACTCCATGTTCTTCTTCTGTTGTCTTCTTAAAGAACGTATAGCGAGCTCCATTTGCCGAAACGTTTACTTCATCGTCGCCTTCCATGTTTATGTCTAACACAGGTATTTTATGACAATGTTATAAAAATAAATTAATCGACTGGTTTTTTTTTTTTCTGAATTTCCTTTTCGATTTTAAACTTCCTTGGTCTTGATTTTCCTGTTGACGGGTAGTTTCGTTTCATCAATAATAGTGTTACGGTGTAAAATATGACTTTTTTTGGACTAAATATAAAATCATGTATAAATTAACTTTTCGGACTTTGTGTAAATTGTTTTAAAAACTTTTCGGATATTTCTTCAAATGTGATAAATTCTATAAATTCCGCACAGCCCTAATCCTACCTGAGGCACAGTCAGAGATGGACAGTTAATCTCCTAATTGACTTCTATTTATATTTATTGACACTTAATCTTTCATCTACTTTTATTCTATTATATACATGCCGCTAAAATGTCACCATTCTCTCAATAATTGTTTGATACTTGATTTCTTTATACTTTTTGTTAATCCTATTATTTTACTCTTTCTTTGTTCAGTATGTATGTTTTGTTGTCAAAAATTATAGTCAGTTGGAATCAGACCTTCGGTGCTGATACATCCCAAACTCATGTAAAAGTATATTCATGCTGATTCTATATAAAAGTACTAAACTATAACGCGTGTTGGCTTATTGGAGGTTTTATGAATCTGGGTTCAACAATAAGAGGTCAACTCACGGTTGGCCCAGAATTAGAATCTGACAGAAAAATCCTTCCCGTAAAACTTGGTGGAGAATCCGGGTAGCGACACCCGGGACTGCTACATATATTTTGTAGTAGTCAGATCCTGGACCTCTACAAAAAAAACCAAATAGCGAGTTTCCCCAGATTTTGACAGTGCTGATACAGATGAAGCAAACGTACACTTATTAGGACCAGCAATGGAATATTCTTTCCGACCGCAGTGGAGACAGAAGAAGTTCAACTTCCCTTCGTGTCAGCATCCAGTGTGCGGAAGGTGTGGAAACGTACACCCTAACGTTTTATGTTTCGCGTTTAACCAGAAGTGCTACAGATGTCAAAGAATTGGACATTATTCTAGGATGTGCTTCACGCAGATTAAAGAATCAAAGCCAAAAAGTGAGGACAAGGGGCCTATTGCTAGCAGGAAAAAGACGCGAGACGTGAAACGACTGTGCAAGTATCTCGAAAACAAACGAATTCTACGAGAATTGCCATTCAGTTCTCTTCGGGACAGTCAGTTTCGTTTATTATGTGATAATTCGTGTGCTCTACGAACTGAGCTGAAAAATCTTAAAATTCAAATATGCAATGCAAATAAAGAGAAAAGGAGTTTGACAACGAATTTAACAAAAGCCGAATCTGAAATCAAACAACTTCAAAATCAAAATGCGGTTATGAAAAAGAAGGTGCAAGAACAATCTAACAATTCTAATGATAAAATCTATCGTGAGAAAATTCGCAAACTGGAAGACGACGCGCACGGTGATAGAGTGATTATGGACTTAATGCAGAGGAAATTAAACGAGATCGGAAAGGAACATAATGAGTATGTAATGAAAATTCAGGCAGAAGCTGAGAAAACAACTAAACAGTTAAGGAAAGAAAACAACGCCCTGCTACAGACCATCCGAATATTGGAAGATGAAAGGGATCATCTGCTCGACATGTTTAGGGAAAATAAGCGACAATTTCAACCGCGTAGACACCAAGGAAAACCAAGGAGAGGCCATTTCTATTAATTAACATTCAAAACACGAGGACGTGTTTTACGCGAAGGCGAAGCATGTGTTACGGTGTAAAATATGACTTTTTTTGGACTAAATATAAAATCATGTATAAATTAACTTTTCGGACTTTGTGTAAATTGTTTTAAAAACTTTTCGGATATTTCTTCAAATGTGATAAATTCTATAAATTCCGCACAGCCCTAATCCTACCTGAGGCACAGTCAGAGATGGACAGTTAATCTCCTAATTGACTTCTATTTATATTTATTGACACTTAATCTTTCATCTACTTTTATTCTATTATATACATGCCGCTAAAATGTCACCATTCTCTCAATAATTGTTTGATACTTGATTTCTTTATACTTTTTGTTAATCCTATTATTTTACTCTTTCTTTGTTCAGTATGTATGTTTTGTTGTCAAAAATTATAGTCAGTTGGAATCAGACCTTCGGTGCTGATACATCCCAAACTCATGTAAAAGTATATTCATGCTGATTCTATATAAAAGTACTAAACTATAACGCGTGTTGGCTTATTGGAGGTTTTATGAATCTGGGTTCAACAATAAGAGGTCAACTCACGGTTGGCCCAGAATTAGAATCTGACAGAAAAATCCTTCCCGTAAAACTAGCAAAATTTGTATGCAGTATTAAAAGACACGCGGCTTCTATTCACAAAACACTTATTATTCAATTCTAAAGCCATAAAGGTGTATATTTAAAGGAAGTATTTTATTTCAAAATTTTAAGCAACGAATCGGTTTCGTTCTGCGTTGCAAATTTTATGCTTTTGAAGACTGATATCAATATTTCTTGTGTAGAATTTCATCGGAAAAGCCTTATCTTAAAGAAGTTTTAATTGGTTTCAATTAAGTTCTGATTAAGTAACCCTATGTCCCCGTCTTGTGTGTCATGGATAAGTCGGATCATAAAAACAAGGATCTACCATTGTACGACCCCCCCCCACCCCCACCCCCCCTTTCCAGAATTTGAGGTCAAGGGTATAGGTCACCACTTTTTCCCAATTCACGGGCAGAAGTGTAATATGTCAAATAATTTACATCTATGCGGCGAATGTTGATGTGTTGCATTTTTGCGATATCCAGCTCTGGAATTCTCAACACGGCCGGTGATTTTGGGAATTTTATCTTATACTTTTTAAATCCTTCAACAGAAGAGCCCAACATCGACCTTTGCACATTTTTGCATTGTTTACTTTGTCGACATTTGGGTTACTACGACTTATAAACCAGTCTTTGGAATGAGTAGAAAATTTTCTGATTAATAAAAATAGTATCAGTTGCACATGGTTTTGTCAGTTCGTCCAGCTCTTGTTCAGTTCTGAGCCCTATTTAGAAATAAAGTAGAATTTAATCATTATATTTTTTTCAGTCGTCTTGCCAATTTAGAATTAATGACGAACAACATCATTAAATTAGTTTGACAGTCGATTAATGATCGCATTTTGGCATGGGTATTGTAGAATATGCAAATCAACTCCCTGGATTGGAATTGTTGTATATTGATGGATAGGTAGATCTTTCTTCTTCATGCTGTTTTTTCAGTCTTAGTTTGTGCATATGAATGTGTCCACAGATTCAGCGTTGACTAAGACGGCCCTTTTCATGTTTTTCTTCACATTTTTTGTGTGCATAATGTCTTTTAACAAAGTATACGGCTTTTATGATGAATAAGCAAGAGAGATGTAATATAAAAACTTCCATTGATCAAGTACATAATGGGCTTATAAAATATGCAGTTGTTCTTTATCGCTATCTTGAACACAGTTTACTAAACTGTAAACACAAAGTTAACGACAAGTTCAAGAGTTGTCCAATATCATAAACTACATATGTACGAGGGTTGTTAGAAAAGTTCGCGGACACGTTGATTTACGGGAAATATGCTGTAAACTTTAAAGAATGACGTATGTCTAATTAAATTCTTATCTTTTGTTTATTAGTATGTAAAAAATCAGGTCCATTTACTAAAATTTTGAAAACGTACGTTGATTTTTACTGCGCGGCCATAGGATTCACGGAGCAATCACTTGACGTTTTATGACGTTAGGTGACGCGACAACCTGATTCCAGACCTGTGAAGCTTTTTCACAGTTCTAAATATCTTTCATTTCTGTAGACTTTTCATGTCTTTTTCTAACTTAAAAATTGAATAAGTACATCAAGACATGTTATATATTTTTTATGTCTTTTGTGGCGTATCGGATATAAGTGAGATCTTTAAAACAATGTCTATACGCAGTTCAACGATCAGATATGAGAAACAATGCAAAATCCATAGGCGCAACGTCCATGCGATGAGGAGGATATTGGGGTATCGCAGGAGGTGATAATAAAAAAAGTCCATCCTTCCATTCTTACAAAGTTGTTACCACTTGAACACTTTGGTACTAGATACGTATAAGCCATCCCCAGCAGCATCTAAAAACATTTTAGTCTCTTTCGGGCATTTTCCTGTCTGCACACATAATTTTTTAATAGCTCGGTGCTCCAAGACGTTCAGTGACGTTACCATTTTTGGCTTTGTTTTTACGCATTGATCATCTATAATTAGTGATAAAACAGTCATAACTCCTCCAATTTAAATCAAAATTTCACCAAATGACGTTTCATGAATATTTGAGCGATAGGTGAAATATCATAAATCTTAATGCGCTACAACAGTGCAATTTTTAATTTCAAAATTGTGTCCATGAAACGTAAAAGTGAGAAAAAGTAACATGCTCCGTGAAGCATGTTTTATCTTAAAATTTTCACTGTGTATTGTTTAAAGATCATCGGAAAGCACCAAATTTTTGCATATTAATTTGAAAATACGTATAGTTTCTACGTGCAGAGTTTTACTGATTTCATGCAAATAGCGCGCTCACAATACAACTTGTCCGCGAACTTTTCTAACAACCCTCGTATATCAGAAATGTCTCGCAATAAAGTAACGCTGACCTAAATACAGGACCATGCACGTTTGGTATCGTTATCGGATTGTCAACATAAAAGAAGTTTTTCGAAATGGGTATGACAATCAAATACCTCTGCATCTCGGTAAACAGGAATGTGCCGTCTTTACTTTTTCAAATCCCTACGCACCAGGGAACTTCTGATGTAAACTCATCTGATTTTAACCTTTTCCCGTCTCTTGTCAAACAGATGAACAATCACGTTTCATTGAAATTCATGAAAATACATATGGCGTGCTTCAGAAGAAAAGAGCACCGGTTGCGGTAGCTTGGTAGTAGGGCTATCGCTTCATGATCAGAAGGTACCGTGTTCGATTCTCGTTCCTGGCGCCGCATTAACCCTTAGATGTATAACATAGGCATTGACTTCTTTCTATATCAATGGTCCCGAGTGCTGAGCAAAGCCCTTCACGGATAAATGGCGTCTCATATGACTGAAAAATTCTTCAAAGGGACATAAAATAACATTTAATCAATCATAAGAAAGCATAATTTTATTTATTTTTATTTCTGAACTATATATTTAAACAACTTCACTAAGTATTGCAATTTGAATTATTAGTCATAAAATATTTTATAATCACTAAAATACATCATAAAAAATAAAAATGCTATCGGAACATTGTTTACAACTGTACATTCCTTTAGGTCCTGATTACAAAGGCACGTGTATTTTCTCAGGCAATTTACAATGAAATTTATACAACCTTTGAAGATTAACATCAGTAAAATGCCCACAGTATCACAAGTGGCATTTGTACAACAGTACAGTTACCTTGCTAACATACACCAAACAAAAAAGCAATTTTTTTAATTGGTCATCCGATTAATTATAGCGAGCAATGAATGAAAGGCATGGCGATTACAATATTATGAACACATGCAAAAAATCAGAGATCAACAAAATTTATGGGCCTTGACCTATTAACAACTGAACATGAAATACTAACAACACATTGGTCCCTGAAACTCATGCTTCCAAAAACAACTTCACCCAAACCGAAATGTCAGACAAAATGGTATATGGAAAATTTATTCAAAAATAGAATATATATCTGGAAAAAAAAAATAATATCATGAGAATGCAACTGGTTTTATCACAGTTTCTTTGCTCTGAAAAATTATTCGTTGATTTATGAATTGCAATTTAGGTGAAAGAAATATCATTATGATCATGAATTTACAAAAATCACTGGCCAATCAACGAGTAACAAATACCATAGCTACATGTGTCATGTGATCACTTTTGAATTTATCGAGTACGAGTTGTGAAAAAAATATTCTCAAGAAATTCAAAATTTGACATGACATAACAATAAAAAATTTTTAAAAAAAATATATGGTGTCATGGACATGGAATCCTTTCTTTGCTGTAGTTACCTCGATTGGAAGACACTGGACACGGAATGATTGAGATTCGGTGGACATTCTGCGTTAAAATAAATATAAAACTGTGTCTGGAAGATCAAATATCAATCAAAATTTTAAAAGTAATTATCGACTGCATAGATGGAAATGTCAATGCCCAAATGTTATGACTAGGCTTAAACATCCTTGTCTTGCCCATCATCTAATGCTTAGCACCAAAGGCAGGAGCAAGACTAAACGGAAGTGTCGTTATTTCTGACGTCATAAGCTGATTGACTACGAAAATTAAGCACCTGTTCAAACCAACACAAATGGCATAAAGTATATATTTGTGTCAACTCTCGCTACTTGGAATGTCTCTTGCACACTTCCCATTTGAACTTAACTTTCACAATACTGTCTTTTTAAGCGTGCGTTTCGCCATAATCGTCACTAAGGGCTTTTTTCACTAAGGGTTTTTCCTTATATATACCCCATAAGTTCAATACCAAATCAGTTAGCAAGATAGCATTAGTGTTCCTAGATACGATTCTTAAAACAAACAGACCATCATCACGGAGGTACTGGTCAGCAAACTGGCGACAGATCTTCTTGTCGTCCTCGCCATGGAGTTCGTCACGCACCTTCAGGAACTTCTTGATGTAGGCCACACGGTTCTGCTTCACAAGCACGCGCCAGATCCAGAACAAGAAGTTGCCGCATGTAATCACGGCAACAACCACGAACCAGAACCACAGGAAAATGAAGATTTTCTCGTTGAACAGGTTGATTGGAAGCACGCACTGAACCGTCCACCTCTGGAGGTTCTGCAGCTGACGAATGTCGAAGTCACAAAGTGTGACACGCGGGAAACGGCGGCTTTCTTTGATCTCGTAGTTCTTGGCCAATCCGTCGAGAACTTCTAGACCATACGCTGAATAGAATCCGTGTCCCATGAAGGCGTTCAAGATAAAGAATTGGCAGATAATGTTGATGCAGTATAAGACTTTGACAAACATGTACAGTCCAGTAAGATAAGTGCCTTCGCGTTTATTACACATGATACAGCAAACCTTAGATGCCTTCTGCTTCATACGGACCATGAAGTTATAGTTGTATTGACGGTGGGTCTCCAACCAACGGTCCATGTACAGGGCAATGTGTTTTACAGTTTCATCTCTCTTCTTTGGCTCAGCAGTCTGAGTTCCGGCTGCCATGTTGACGATTTTTTCTAGGTTAAGTCCTGAGTAGCCATTCAGCATTCTCCATACAAGACAGGGTACCTTGAACATAAAAGCCATGAAGACGAGAATAATAGGGACCCACTGATAGTAGGTCAGTTCCTCCTGTCGGCGGGTTTCATGATCCAGAGGGATCGTTTCCTCAAGAGGAACATAGTACGTATTTTTAATCCAGCAATAGGACTTCGTATACGCAACGTAGGACCCCGTAAACTGCGCTGGACACCAGCATTCTATAGGATTTCCTACATACTGTCCACCACCTGTAAACACGGCGAAAATACACAGAAGGACCACGGTGTAGATGTGATTGACGCGGTCCACCCAGTCATCATCATCGTTACCCCGGAGCTTGTTCCAGCTCGCCCAACTTCCGAAAATCCACACAACCCTGCAAAACGAAACAATCAAATTAAATAATCGTAATACATGTAAACATAAGTAAATTGAAAGGAACCTTTTTCAATTTTTTCCGTATGATATTATTATCTCAATAACTAAGATACAAAAATAATTTGTTTCATATTCATTTGGACATTTTTTTTACAATCACCTACATTTTTGGAAAGCAACCGATCTTTTCAATGCAGTTTATTTTACTGAGATGTAGTTTACTGAGATGTTTTGGGACAAATTACCGTTGTTAACTTATGTAATTAGGCTTAATGTATTTTCAAAGGTTGTCATAATCAAGTTTATTCTTAAAACCTAGGTAATATTATGTAAGAGGACAATAAGCAACAACAAGTAGATCCCAGACAAAAGCCTGGTAATTGAGTGTGGGATAAAGGCTGACCTTTACAATAATAACCAACATTGCATAGACAGACCGTCAAATAAGACTGGTTTTTACATACAATGGCCACAGATTAAGGGGTGATGTCCACTAACCACACAATTTAATACTGAAATCACAATATTGACAAGTCTGGGATGTTTTTCTACTCTCTCTTCTTCCTTATCATCTCAAACAAGGGAGGCCATACTAAAGGGTTTCTTAAAAACGAAGATAACAATTTGTGAAACATTTTTATCTGGCGATAAGGGGTAAAGTTTTGTTTGGACATGAAAGCCAAGTCTATTGGACTTTTACCCGTAATCACTAGATAAGTATCATGTCATACTAGGTGGCAGATGGTTGTAGACTTTTGTAAAATATGCAATATGCGAAAATAGGCCTATGCAAAATATTCAAATAAAATGTTTTTAAAATATAGACAATTACCTTCATTCAAAGAAATTTATAACTTTAAACTTGTTTATCTGTAACACATATTATCCCTCATAATAAAATTGAATCCTATAAATAACTCGGAGATATGACAGCGTCTGTCCGTTCATTTATTGGTGTCAATTAAATAAAGGATCAAATGACTGATAAAACCGCTGCTTCAAAGTTTAATTCTGTCTTAATTAATCTGATAAGGTGTTATTTGCAGAAGACAAAGAATGTATGATTACAATCTAAAATATATCTTGTTAAAGTTCAACTGATGAATTTACCACTGTAAAAAAACAAAGTGCAAGGGTTAAAATACTAGATAGGACCTGTCAAACACAACAAGTGGGTGGATTAGCTTCAGTCATCACTTCATACTTACATAACTTATGAGGATTTACCTCCCTTTGAATAGCAAATGTTGATATTTAAAAAGTGCAAAAAATAAATAAATAAATAATATAAAAATGAGACTTCATTTGATGGTTTATGTTAAGAGAAAAATCACATCTTTTTTAGAAATTTGGTTCATGAACTGAATCTAAGTAAGTTTTGGGAAACAATTTGCTTATTTCCTCATCTCTGTTGATCAAAATTCCTTCACCTCTACACAAGTAAAGAATTTTAATGTACAAATTTTATCTGTATTCATTTTTCTTACTTTTTTCTTCATTTATTTAATCATCTGAATAGATGCATGTTTTTTTTTCTGCCTTGGGCTATATGATTTTTTTTTCTAGAATTCAAGAACCTGATGAACCATGAAAAAAAATCATGTGTATGTAAATTTTGTATTTGTGTATAAAAGTCTAGAAATTGTACTGTAAGAATAACATTACTTTCAAGTATCAAATTTCCTAGCTTTGTAAAAGCAAGAAAAAGCATTACTTATTTAATTTGTTGCCAGTTGGAGTATAAAGATCTTTAAGGGGATTGTTAAGAAAACAACTACTGTGTGTCTCACTGCAGTTGACATATGTAAAAAAAAAAAAAAAAAAAAAAAGAAAAAGAAAAAATGGCACAGATAAAAAAATTGTCAAGAACCTGATGAAAAGAGTATAAACTTTTTATTAAAACCTATCATTATATATTTCATTTTTTAACAATACAAGTTTACAGGGTCAAATTACCTTCAAATATCTAGCCTTGACCAGTGCATTACTAGTCAAAAATCTTATTTAACTGTTACCCAAAAAAAAAAAAAGAAAAGAAAAGAAAAAAAGTTAACTAATGTGTCTCACGCGCATTTGCATGTGTAATGTGTAAACGGGGCCCAGCAAGGGAGATTTTTAACAGACAGATGACCTGTGAATTCAGCCCCAGGCATTATCGTAATGTACAACCTACAGTGTTGACACAAAGCCGCAATTCCTGTCATAACGTTGTATGTGATACAAGTGCAATTATGGCACATTAATGGCGCACATTCATTACTCTATAAAACTATATCCATACTTTTTATACTGGTTTTATATAAAATACTCAACAAATTAAAGATGTATCGTAAGACCTAAATCATACTCAATGTTAGATATAAAATACATGTTCTGTTTTTAAAAGTGTTTTCATAAAAAGACGAATCTTAAAAAAAAAAAATGTTGTTTAATGATTTTTTTTTAAACAGAGATAACTCGCAACGATCTATGACGACTGATCAATGAGAATAGTGCTAAGCTTGATAACTGAACAGTTGACAAGGTGTATATGAATAGAATTATAACATAAATTTAATAATCAACCCCTACAATGCTACATCAATTACATGTTCATTATCAAAATATTCCCAGTCCGTGGCAAATATTGTCACACCATATATTCGAGTCCATGAATCAGTTGAACTACTGACAACATTGTTGTTTACAGTGAAATATACGTAAAGAAACTTACGACATGTCTTTTGTTGGTCACTCTAAGGACCTCTGGGTTTCTTCTGCTCTTATTTACCGAAAGTCCAAAAGAAGAATCCCTCGGTTAAAACTGTACAAAGTTGATACACTTTTCTCGTGTCGTTACCTACTCCGAATGAAAGTACGTGGGCAGGGCCACTCGAAGCTTACATAGATGTCAGTCATTTCCCAAATATATCGTGAATGACCAATCACATCGCACTTGCCATGGGTCGAAGGTCAAGCTGAAATAGATACGAAGAAAGGTAACTCGGGAAGGCGAAAGTATTCAATGATGCAATGCATTACGGTAAATGTGGTAAAAGCAACAGGTGAAAATATTTCGTAAGAAAGGACACTTTTTACAAAATAAATCAGAGATAACATTATAGAAGTTTTATCAAACTGACACACCTACCTTTTTAGAAATCAACACCCTTTGTTGTTTATTTTTTAAATTGTTAGTACGGAAATCTGAAGATTTTAAAGAAATAAATATACTGAACAGAGATCTCCTTTTTTTTAAATTTGTTTTTCTTTTCTATTTGTATTCAGTTTTATTATATATTTCCAGTTCCCTGATATTTTTTTAATTTCTAAATTCCGACTTTTCACATGCCTTCAAACTTTAGTATTTTAAAATGACCAGCACTAGAGACAATATTTAACAAAATATCATATCATATAATATAGATAAATTAAATCAAATTGTGATAATTTATTCAGGCCCATAGGAAGCAATTTCAGTGGGGGGGGGGGGCACAGCCATACATTTTTCAGTTGACAGTTGAGGGGGCACTACCAAATTTCCTGACACTGAAGCCAAAAAAAAAAAGTCAACTACCAAAAATTCCTTGACAAGCCAAATATAAAGGTCATCAACTACCAAAAATTCCTTGACAAGCAATATATATATATATATATATATATATATATATATATATATATATATATATATATATATATATATATATATATATATATATATATATATATATATAATAATAATAATAATGATAATAAAAAAAAAATAAAATAAAATAAATTAATAAAAATCATTAGACGTTTTTTTATTGAGGGGGCACAAGCATATAGTATTTATGTTTACTATAGTAATCAAAATATCGGCAAAATTATTGTCCCCCCCCCCCCCACTCGGTTCCTACGGCCATGTTATTCGGACTTTAAAACAGGGAATGTTTGGAGAATGTATACATGTATGTAATCATGTCCAAGTCAATTCCAGTGTGAAATTGAATTTATATATAATATTTTATTTAAAATTTTCAGTAAATTAATCTACAGATCTATATGCATTATTTATCATTGAACGTTGAACAAAGCAACGATTCATCAAGAAAAGTACAAAGTATTCTCCATATGTCCTCGTTATCACTGCCCCCTCAGTGACCTGTGTTTACGTATTTTAATTCAAGATGGCGGAATCACCGATAGAACAATCTATGGTAGCTATTATTGAAAGAAACCTGGACATAGCTACTGATATTTTGTCCGAAGATGAAGAATTCGATAAAGACCAGGATTGGGAAAATATGGAACTACCCGTCAGGGATAAGAAGACACCACCATTGTTTTGCAGGACATGTTTATCACCTTACTTTGGAGAAAAGAGGAGCGACGGAAGCCATGTTTTAACGTGTACTAAATGCAAGAGGACGAAGGAGCTTACAGAAGACGACTTTCAAGACGTTCCCGTCGACGAGTTGGAATTTTATGTTGGTGACGTGGTTTCAAATCGCTTTCGTCCCCTAATCGAGGAGCAACGCCGTCTCAAAGCACTGAACGTAAGTGACCCAGATTATATTGAGGACGAATTTAAGAAGTATTACTATGTTTACAAACATATCTTGGATTTGATGACCCAGACGGTCAGTAATATGCACAAGATACTGGACAACCATAGGCACCGGTACAATGAGTCGATGATAAAGAAACTAGCTATAGACGCCGCGTCTTTTGACGATCTTACAATCATTGTAACTGGGTCAAAGGCTACTAATAACCTACTTATAAGTCCTGATGAATACAGTGTTCCAACAGAGGTGTGCGCACAATGCAACGTGCAGGGGAAAAAAGGAATAAGATCTGCGGATAAGTATATTTTGGAGGCGAAAATTTCCATGAAAATGGTAGAAGAAATGCCATTGTTTCAGCAACGCCTCTTTCACTACCGTACTAGAGCCCAGTTTGCACTAATGCGAACTCTTAATGAGAAAAACAAGTCCAATAGTCAACAGGTTTCTGGAAAGAAATTAAGAAAAAATAGAAAAAAGATGAAAAATGTTAATAAAGATGAAGAAATTACATGGGGATTGAGGGAATTTGTAAATTGTACAAATTCACCTATATACAAAATGTCCGAACTTTTTGGGGACAAATTTAAGTCAGATCCAATGGATGAATTTTCTGAAGATGAAACGGAGGAAACCGATGGAAGCGAATCTGAAAACGACTTGGAACAGATAGAAACGGCACCCGAAACTGCTGTGGTCAAATACAATGGAGCTCGACCAAAAATAGACCATAAAAATTCACCAGAGAAACTAAAACTGCGAGCAATGATAACAAAATATGAAAAAGATTTAGATAAATACAACACTTTGGAGCAAGATGAAGAGAAAAAGTTTCAAACCGAGGTCAACTTTCTTATTCCGTACATCATGAGAGACGCTGAAAGCGCAGTAGAGCACGAGAAGTTTGATGTCCGCCATGTCAATAAAGCTTTTAAGGAGATTATGAAAGCCCTTAAAAAGAAAAGCGACATGGAACAACGTCTGAGGAAAGTTGCCACCCTGAAGCAAGTAGAAAAAGCTGCAATGGACATGACGGATCACGTGGATGAGATAAAAGCCGAGATAACACGAGACTTACAGGAGGCCTATCGCGTGAAGATGATCACTGCCTACCGTGACAAGAAAGAAGCGGAAGAGACCCATAATAACCTGGTACTGTACAAGAATCTGTTGGAGAAGTACCAGAGTACTAATGACTTTGACAAAGCCGAGGAAGTGATGAAACAAGTCGACATCTACCGCGATCGACTCAACATTCTCAAAGAAAAACATTCCAAGAAAAAGTAAAGGATAAGTGGGAGCATTAAATGTTGGGAAGGGAGGGTTTTAAAAGGAGGGCGTGTTTATCCTAAACTACTGTTTTCCTACCCCTTTCTATCTATAAATGAAAGTTTACTTTCACGCCTGTCTTGTTTGGTCAATCCTATGATTTTTATGCCCCGTATTCGATTGATTGATTGTATATTGTTTTACGTCCCATTCGAGAATTTTTCACTCATATAGAGACGTCACCATATACCGGTGAAGGGCTTCAAATTTTGACCTTTACTCGGCACTCAGGGCCATTGAGCAGTGAGGGATCTTTATCGTGCCAACGCCTGCCGTGACACGGGGCCTCGGTTTTTAAGGTCTCATCCGAAAGACCCGCAACTTTCACTCCAAAGTGCCGAGCGCATGGCGAAGGAACAGTTGCTACCTATTTTTTATCGACTTAGGTCTGTCGCGGCCGAGATTCGAACTCACGACCTCCCGATCACGGAGCGAGCGCTCTACCGACTGAGCTACCGTGAACGGTGCCCCGTATTCGAAGATTCGGAGGCATATAGTTTTTAGCTCACCTGAGCTGAAAGCTCAAGTGAGCTTTTCTGATCACCCGTTGTCCGTCGTCCGTCCGTCTGTCCGTCCGTCTGTAAACTTTTCACATTTTCAACTTCTCCTCAAGAACCACTGGGCCAATTTTAACCAAACTTGGTACAAAGTATCCCTGGGTGAAGGGGAGTTTAAATTGTAAAGATAAAGGGCCAAGTCCCCTTACAAGGGGAGATAATCAAGAAAAGACAAAAATAGGGTGGGGTCATTAAAAAATCTTCTTCTCAAGAACCACTGGGCCAGAAAAGCTGAAACTTATGTGGAAGCATCCTGGGATAGTGTAGATTCTAAATTGTTAAAATCATGACCCCCGGGGGTAGGGCGGGGCCACAATAGGGAATCCAAGTTTTACATTGAAATATATAGGAAAAATCTTGAAAAATCTTCTTCTCAAGAACCACTGAACCAGAAAAGCTGAAACTTATGTGGAAGCATCCTTGGGTAGTGTAGATTCTAAATTGTTAAAATCATGACCCCCGGGGGTAGGGCGGGGCCACAATAGGGAATCCAAGTTTTACATTGAAATATATAGGAAAAATCTTGAAAAATCTTCTTCTCAAGAACCACTGAACCAGAAAAGCTGAAACTTATGTGGAAGCATCCTTGGGTAGTGTAGATTCTAAATTGTTCAAACAGGACCCCCCGGGGTAGGGCGGGGCCACAATAGGTATTACAAGGGGGGGGGGGGGGAATCTGGTAAAGAACAGCATGGCCAAAGTTACTCAGGTGAGCGATGTGGCCCATGGGCCTCTTGTTGCCCTGTCTGTCTGTTTGTTTGTTTGTCCGCACAAAATTTTATCTAACCCATAACTTTTGACTAGTTGGAGCTATAGCTTTCCTATTTTACATGTGTATTCTTGTGACAAGACCTTTCTTTAGGTACCATCATATTGACATTTTGGCCTTGATCTTGGAGTTTGACCCAAAATTTTATTGCAAAATTTTACCCATCTTTAACCTTGGCCATAACTTTAGAATGGTTGGTGATATGGCTTTCATACTTCACATATGTAATTCTTGTGACAAGATCTTCTTTTGGAAACCAACACCTTGGAGTTTGACCCAGTTTTGGAAAACTTTAACCTTGGCTATAACTTTTGAACAGTTGGTACTAGGGCTTTAATACATCACATGTGTATTCATTGTAACAAGACCTTACTTTGGATACCAACAACCTGACTAGCCCTTGGAGTTTGATCCAGTTGTGGAAAACTTTAACTTTGGCCATTACTTTTGAATGGTTGGTGATAGAGCTCTCATACTTCACAAATATAATTTTTATGACAGGACCTTCTTTTGGAAACAATGTTGACCCTTTGACCTAGATCTTGGAGTTTTACCCAGTTTTGGAAAACTTTAACCTTGGCCATAACTTTTGAATAGTTGGTGCTAGGGCTTTCATATTTCACATATGTAATCCTTGCTATAAGATCTTACTTTGGATACCAACAACTTTGACCTTGAAC